GGTCGTACATGTGGCGCCAGCACAACAAAAAGTTCGTGTTTTGCGTGGTAAGTTCTTTGTACAGTGGATTTTTTTCAGGAAACTTCATATTGACATTATGTATATTTTGGTATGTGTATAGGATCTTCCAGCCGAAGGAAATTTTTTGCTTTTGGTTCGTCTAATGTTTGAAATTTCAAAAAATTTTCTTACGTTAGGGCTTTTCAAAAGGCCAACGTGGGGGCAATGTAACTATAGTAGGGAATCACTATGTTAACTGTGTGTTTACTCCCTTTTACCACTTTTCACGACGGGGTATTACGTGTAATACAACCACAGTCATGCTGAGGTCTTTCCAAAACTCCGGACTGCAGGTGTCTACGATGAGGAACGAACGCGCTATTGTCCTTTTCGGGAAGTAACACGTTCACCACCACATCATGGGGGTCCTTCCTTTCACCTGTTTCTCAACTAGTTCTATCGATCAATGCCGTCAGCAATCACCCGTAAGAGGATTGATCTGGGGAGCCCAAATCGGCAAAGTTAAGCTGAGGCTACAGTCGAAATCACATTGTTAACTTGCCTATTACAAATTTTCACGGCAGAGTCTACCGTAGACACCTGCGATCCGTAGTTTTGCAATATCTCAGCATCGTTGCGGTTGTAGTAGGAAAGTTTGTTCTCATGGGTGTTATGGCCGTGGTAAATTTCGTAAGTGGTGCTATTTTATTTCATTAGCGTCGACGTTTCCGCGAAAACATGTTTTCAAAATGGTTCAAGGTCGCTTCCAATCTCTAAATGGTTGTTGTTATTCAATGATCTATGATATCGACTAGATGAAAGTGAGTAGCCGTCGATAGCCATCTACTAATGTGACTGGATGAATATATTTATTAGTGCTTCATCGCTCCGGCCGTATTCACCTTCGGCTTTATGCTTTCTGGAATTTTGACGACTCTTGTGGTGTGTGGGAAGTTTTACAGCACTTTCATGGACTTTAAAGAGAAGTTGACATTTCGCATAAGTGGACATAGTCGTCGAGGTGGGCCCGGTTTTATAAAATGATTTTCATTTTCGTTTAATAATTACGTTAACAGTCGTACGAATTTGTTTTAAAAAGTCCATACTGCTAGTATCATTTATCAAAAGTAGAGATGCCACCTACGCCATTGAGAGATGAGTGTAAGTTCACATGAGGTTTGAAATACTCGGACGATGTTGTCTTATCTTCCTAGAGCAGTCGATCTGAATGCATGCAAAAGCTACCCTTAACCCATGAATAATTGTTACTTCAAGATTAAATGTAGACATCTATGCTAACTTAGATAATCATAGTCAAGTTTCTTAGGAAATAAACTGGCTGGAAATTAATGGTGAAACTTCGTGATTTACTGGTACGAAGCGCGCCACAGCTTCCATTGTGGTTGACCATTAAGGTTAACGGAGTATTCAGGCCTTGCGCCCACTGGTCTTTGATCTTACATGCATTTTTTTCTCGGGATAGTTAATGTAAACAATGCAGTGTTGGTCTTAGCTATTTTTGGTGTCATCGTATGCTAAATGCCAAACAATCAGAATTGTTTAATAGCCTTTTCAATGGGTATTCATATCAAGTGGTCAAGTTTGCTGCTGCTCTGCTCAAGTGGTCATGTTGGAAAACTGAAATGTTTTGCAAACTGTTACTAGGAGGCCCTATTCTTATCTTGTGCTGCTTACAGTCCATTTTAACATATAACACCCGATATAGACACTGTAGTGTCTATACGTGCTTGGGCCCACGGGCGATATGGACACTACGACGTCCATCTTCAGTTGTGTGGGTTCCGGAGTTTTTTTTACTACGCTATGTATGTCCATTCGATAACCAGTCGAAAGCAGATCAGAATAGGAAAGTGGACAGAAAAGGCATTCCACCTTTGGTGGTTTACAAAAGAACCGTTTTCTCAAAATGGTCCATTGGCCGATAGTTTGACTAAAAATTAGCAGTTATTTATTTTATTCACTATGACCACTGTGTCGAACGTGGGGATGTGAAAAAAACACCGGAACGAACTCAACACAAAGTGCAAATAAACTTCCCAGTGCTAACAGTAATGTATTTGCATAATGGACCATAGTAACACTGAGTAAATAGTAACATGGATATTATTCGTATCCATTGAATGGTAGAGCAAGCTCTTTTATGCAGTCCTGTTATGTTCGCAACTCCTAAAGCACTCCAGTAATTGGAACATTTTTTATTGTTAAAGAACCAGCTGATGGAGAATTGCCCGTATTCCACTCGCCCAGTGCGTTAGTTTTTTGATATTTCCCGAGCAAGCGCGGCATTCGCACAAAACCGTTAATACATGAGAGAGAATCATCATGCGCTTCTAGACGAAATACAGCTTGTTCGATCGCTTTCATGTTGATAATGTGACCCTCAGTAAAGAACTGAAAAGGTGATTTTGGATGGATTTCGACAAGTCTAAGTTTAATCTTGGTACAACCAAAGAATTTGCATCTCCTAGACAAGAAGCAGTAGATTTTAGTAGTTTTTATTGAAGCTAGTAGAGTTCAATATGGGCCGAGATATTTTAGCCTAGATTTACAAGCTTCAAACGCACTCATCGCTAATGTGTTCGGTTATCTAACGTTCTTCAAATGGAGGACTCTAGCAACAGCTCATACAGTGTTGGAAAATCGGCGTTGAGTGTTTTTACTGTAGAATATGTAGAAAGGAAATTTAATTGGACCTCATAGTCTTCATGCTGCGTTGGATGACTGAGGTTACTGAGAAAATAAAAAGAACTTCGTCCATCTAACTGGTGTTTATAGGAAAAAAAACTATGACACGACCAGAGAGCTTTATTCTCTCGTCGCGTTGTGAAGTTTATGACAATCTGTTCAACCAGTCATGTATAGAATCCGAGAAGAGAACAGAAAAGTAATCTTGACAAGGAATACAACTGGCATTCATAAAACCACTTTTGCTGTGCCATCGAAATCGGCTTTAATCGACAGGATGTGTCGTGAAGTTATTGTGTATCATTTGCAGGTTCGATGCTAGATAGAAGAAATCGTTCGGGTTCCAGCACGTCAGTGGTGTCGGTGATTTCGGAAGAGTACTTCGTGGCACCACCTCTATGCCGTCGACATTCGCTGAGTACCAACAGTCTCCCGTCGCGACCACCCAGCGAAGTTTCCAGGCACACACTTCACGGCACTCCAGCTTTTGCTCTTGCCTCAGCCTCAGGCTCTGGCTGTGGCCCTGCGTCTGCCCCTGGTTCCGCATCTGCATCTTCTCCTGTCTCTGCCCCTACTTCTGCTCCTTCTTTTGCTCCTGAACCTACACCTGTGCCTGCACCTGCTCCTGGTTTCGCATCTGCATCTTCTGTCTCTGCTCCTTCTTTTGCTCCTGAACCTACACCTGTGTCTGCACCTGCTCCTGCCCATATCTCTTCTCCTGATTCCGATAACTGATTTCGACTCGATCAGAGATCTTTCTTTATGTTCGTTTTTATGTTTGTCAATACAATTGTGAATCTCAAGCTATGTCTGTATTATTATTTTGTATACAATTTGATACTCATGCCATAAGAAAAGACATTGTCAAAAATGATATTAAAAACGATCCAGTCGTAAACCCGATTGAGACGCTAACAAACGCCTTGCGCAATCCGACGTCTCATGTATTATAGCCTTTCCCAAGGAACGTAACGTGTTTCGATCATCATACCAAATGAAACAGCCCTTGTGTAGATTCGTAAAATCGGTGAGTAATCGATGACTATTCGACGCGTGTCATTTAATGTAGGCCAAATAGGTAGTGACATTAGGTCGGTCTGGAAGCGACTACGTAGGAACGTCGTTTTGCATGGACTCTTGTCGTTAATGAACACCTTACGTGTTCGAATTGTTTCATTGTTTCTTAAATTGCAGATAGAGCCTTTCCTTTCTATTTGCTGTTATTATGTCTTTATGCATATATGTTATATTGTGCATCCATGACGAAAATGAATTGTTCGTTTTTTAAATCTGTCTTCGCTTTCAAATTGCTTGTTCAGTACGTTAAGAGTAATCTTGTCAAAAATTCCGCTAAATTCGTCCAGCTCTGCTTAGCCCTGCAGAGGTTTCTCTGTTCATGTCTTTGATGCGCAAATGAAATGAGAAGTTGAGATGTGAAATTATATCAGGATCTGCTGCAAGTGTTTTCCGCATTATCCTCCCAACGGTTTACCGCCTCGTCCTGGGTGGGAGGTGTTCCTGAGCGTCGGACTGCGATGTACAGCGGGGGATTCATCCCCGCGGCAGCGTCTACCAAGTTGGGAAGGAGTCCGACGTTTCCATCAGGAAGCTCAGCTGAGAGTAAACCAATACCAGGATCCACCACCATCCTGGCATTGAACTAGTCATATGGTGGCAAATCTCCCTCTGATGTACAAGAGTTGCAACTACCTATGGTGGTGATGACCTGGGGCAATCTTTGACAAGGCTGATTTCGGAATTCCAAAGAAGAAAAATGGCTTAATCAGCAAATGTCCGAAAAATGGAGATTATGCTGTGGCCCACCCAACAAGTGAGGACGGGCCACTCAAGTATCAAGTAAGTAAATTTTCCGTATATTTAAGCGGAATTTGTGCTCTAATTCAAAGATGTATTTATCATGGAGCAAAAAGTGGCGGAAGTGAACATCAAACTTCGCTTGAATTTGAAGTTGATGCTCCGGTCTTATGGGTTAATTTCACAATTGAGTAAGGGCGAAGTCTGCTTTGGCGATTATGAGCTGATCTGGGGATATAATAAAACTAGATCGATTTATGAATGAAACACCTCATAGGACACCTTCCTCGATATTTACACTAGCCGTTATCTCGTATTAAACACTGAAACTCTAATAAGCCAGACAATTAGTGATATTAAGTAGGGTGGTACATCACCACATAGATGTTAAGTTTCAGTGGATACTAAACCCTATTGTTTTTGAAACAGTTATGTACACATTAAAATATAACACTAATATCATCTAAGCAAAGCATTCGTCAGGAGATATTAACGGGAACTGTTATAGCATAGACGTTGCCTTTAGAGACGGCGTTCTTCACCTTCCTTTCCTTTGTGAAACGTTGAAGATAGGAATTAAATCGCTCTATATACGGTGTGGTGATGGCCAGTACTACCGGCAAGAGCACTAACGCATGGACCACTCCTGAAAATAACAACTTGAAGGTCTTCCCGCTTCGAAAAGTTCTAATAAAATTTATCATTTGCCTGCTTTTGTACCGCTACTAGGGTACGTGTTTTAAAGCGATTCTTCATTGATTCCTGAGCAACATCAAGGGCAACATATTGTTTGATACAGCAAAATTTTTAAACGGATTTTTAGTTGTGATGACAATGATGATGACGGCGAATGATAGTCTCAGTACATTTGTGATGACTCGTTATTTTTAGGTGCTTGTCCCGTACAGTCAGTGCACATGGTTCGAAATAATGCCGTCTGAAGAAGAGAAACTTGTGTACGCTTAGCACTTTCCGGTACACTATCTGCATAGTAACTAAGGAATCCTTGCAGTACTCATGGAGGTGGACAAAGCCATCACAGTAATCACGTGTGTCACCCGCTTCACCTGTCCTCCTGTTGATTGCCGAGTGACTCAAGCAGGCCCCAGTAAATCTTCCATTTTTTCCCTGTCGCATCCAAGAGTAGCCCGGTGGGCTATGCTCGCTCTAGGGACTCGTCGAGCATCATATCTCTCTTCTAGGCTTTTCGTGAAGAACTCTAACCATCGGGTCGGTGGTCTTCCTGCAGTACGTTTGACATCCTGAAGAATCCAGTCACTAACGGCTCTTGTCCATCGGTAGTCATTCATACACATTACGTGTCCGGCCCACCTTATTTTCGACTGTTTGACGTACAGAACCGCTTCTTTGATTTTTGATCGTTGACGCAGATCGGGTGACTTTGGATCCCATCCCTTACTTGTGTGACACGGGATATTCCTAGCATCGTCGTTTCCACTGCACATTCCATAACTCAGTGATCTTTCATTTCGCTTACGTAGCGACCAGGTTTCTGACGCATACGTCTGTACTTTTTTGTTGTGATTTTATTCTGACCATTCTGAGTATAACATGTATGGTTTAAAAAAAGCCGTCGATATGGCACAAAAGGAAAGTACTGCAAAAAGTCATGCGCGGCAAAGGAAACAACGGTTTGAAGTGCATTGAAATCGATACGCATAGCCTGAAATTGTCTCAAACATTTTACTGTTATCTACACTTTCGGATATGGTGAAATTCTCGCAACTGTCACATGATAATCTACGCTACCACACTTCATACTCAGTACTAGGTTCTGATAGAGAATAAGCAGGATAAAGCTCTTGCCGTCCGTCGACCCTTGAGGGATGCGCCATGCATTCGACTTCATTAAGCACCGTTAGAGGTGATTGAATGCATATCTGGTCTACACAATGACTTGCGGTGGCCTGGTGATGTATCGACTCAATTCTATCTTTCCAGAAAAGTCTTGTACCAATTTTCCGATCTCGGATAGGTGGAAGACTTGGTGAGCCTGGGGCGTGGGATCGAACCAATATTTGTTGCAGGGCACCTCTAACTACTGCGCTACACGCGTCAATGTGGTCGAGGACAGGGAAAACAGCATAGGAGGTATAGTTAAACATCCAACCAATGATTCATATTGGACATAAACATAACGTTATGTACGATCTTCAAAGACTTTTCACTTTTAGGAAACCTGCACAAGCATATATTTAACCTCGACAAAAACTGACCAATGACGAGGACAAGGAAGACGGTCTTAAAAAACACAAGCACCATGTAAGAGTTGATGAACGCCAACACTGTGACTCCCAGAATCGTTGAAATGCTACCGTGGACCACTGTAAAAAAAAAGTGGTAAAAGCGACTTTTGAAATAGTTGACTCACCTTTTTTGAAGTTTTAGTTAAAATTTTACCTGGCCAAGCAAGCCTCTCCATTGCTTCAATGCATCTTTCTTGCGGAGTCAAATTTCCTTCATTACTTACGAAACCGTGGGTAACGTGTGCTGGAAAGGTAGGCTATAGAAAAACCATGAATATATATATATATATATATATATATATGGGTACCAGCGCTTAAAAATAAGAAGAAATCTGAAAACAGAAAACATCTTTGACATCCATATGGTCTATGCTCTAGAGACGCTAAAAAGACGTGATATTTCTCGTTTAGAACCCTCGAGAAGCTCTAGCCATTTGTCGGTTATCACGCTTTGCGTATAGTCTGTGAAACACATTTGTTAGCTGCCATTGTCCAACTTCTGTAGTTATGATACTCGCCCCACTTATTTTCGACATTTTAGCATGCAAGACAGTGTGTTCTATCTTTGGTTACCAAAATTGCTTGGGACGTCGCATACTCTTTTATAACGGTATACTCATAGCTTTACTTTCTCAACAGCACGTTCTATAACACTTAACCATCCGATGGTGGAAGCAGTGGTTAAGGATGCCGTCGATCAAGAAGCAAAGACGCTAGTTTGACTCCCCATCCGCAATGCTCTCCTCCAAACCACGAGGCGATACGTTAGCCTGGATATCTCAAGGATTGCCGGTAGAATCGACTTCACCAGCATTCTACGACTTACATAAAGCGAAAATGAACTCGTCAAGCGGCACAGGAAGCAAGAAGTGAATTGTTCGAAGACCACCGTGGATGATGAATGCGAGGAAATCGAATCGAATGCAAGAAATGCCGCGGTCCGAACAACAGATATGACCAAGAGTCATAAAATGTTAAAAAGGTGTCCTCTCGCTCCACTCACATAGCGTCGTTTCCAATGCGTACGTTAAGCGCGAAGAGTAGTCGCAGAGGCCAAGATAAGAGTGCAGAGTCGGTTGTTTTCTCGCTCTTCGTTCTTTGAGCATATCATTTCCTTCTACTCAGCTCTGAAGCCAAGTTGTCCATCACGTTGACTTCTTAGAAGAAGTTTAAATGGCGAGAACTTCCAGGAATGTTCGTTCCATTCACGACAGCGTGCGTTAGAAACATCCGTTCCTTATGTTTAACCAAGTTAGGTTAAGGAAAGCCGTTTATTATACGCTGGTAACACTTTGACAAGTTTCTTTATCACAATCAATTGATCAGCCATGCCGAAAACCTTTCGAAACATTGTTTGTTTACATACTGGCCATTCGTTCAGTTTCTGTTAATCCTGATGAGTATTGAACTTTCTTGCGAAGATTTTAGTGTAAAATTAAATACGATATTTTAAAAAGGAATAGAGCACGTACCTGAGAACTCAATTGAGAAACCAATACTCAATATGACGGTGATCATGAAGATTGGATCGAGCTTGACACCCCATAATGAAAGAAATCCAATAACTCCTTAATTAAATAAAGTGGTGAAACAAGACCTAAACATGGCTATCTGTAGAGCACCTTTGCTAAACACTAACGAAGAGTTACGCATTTTGTAAAATTATTACATCAATTTAAATAGTCCATCAGTTTATCATTTACATAAGATGCACTAAGCTACTGATGGTCACGCTATAAACAGCGAAGTGTCAGTGAGGTTATCCATGTAGACAAAGAATGACAATTTAGCAGGAAATCAAGCTAACAGTAGCCCAATGCCACAATAATGCCTTTCGAATTACCTTTGTCCACCTTTCTTTCAAAAAACATTAATAGGAAAGGACCCTATTCAAAAAAAATGTGGTGCTTTCGTGTTCTCTGAACTATAAGGCTCCGGTGGAGCGTTTTGATGAGCATGAGAGAGGAATGGGAAATCGAAAGCAAGGGTAAAGTAAGACTTCAAGTGATCAAGATCATAGCCCAAATAAGCACTGGGAGTGGGTGCTAACTCAGAGCTTCGAATAGTTTCGTAGGAAAAAATTTTGCATATATACACAGATATAGTAAGGTTATGTAAACATATACATATATGCCATATGTAGAATAGTAAAAAAAAAAGCGAAAGGAGATCTCTCTAAATAGTATTTAACTTAAACTTTAACATTTTCTGTTTTCAGTAACTCGAAGGTGTTACATTTGAGAAGCTTAAGCTTTATCTATACCCTAAATTTATTTTTTAGTTGTACAGTGCCCTTCAGTTTGAAGCAACATTCGTCGAAATGGTACAGTGGGTATTGACAGTACAGAAAGTACATACCAACGTCAATGGTCACTATGGCAATAGTAATCCAAACAGCACATAGTGGATTAGGAATGAAAAGCAGGCTAATGAGGACCATGCATACCACAGCCAGTAGGTCGTTCTGGACGGTTGATTGTAGGATCACGTTCAGCTGAAAGTATGCATGATAGTCTCCATCTACAATGCTCCTTTGCGAACTATTAATCTCCCATAGGAGGTGACATCAATTTCCCAACCCAATTTCTTGCCTACGTAATCTCCTTTTAGGGCGCTAGTACGGGCTGCTTCAAATGACCTGCAACATGAAACACACTGGAAACCATAGCAGTCTTGGAGTTGTCGCTTGGAATTCCATGTCCCCACTACAGCACGTTACCGCGGATACACACTGAGGACGAAACACTATTTTCAAGCTACAGTCGAATTTATTTAGTTACATGCAAAACTTCTGAAGCACAAATAGTTGTGTTAGTACGGTGTAGTAGACTGAGCAATCGCATACAATTCACAACCAAGTGTATTTCCGTAGAAGCTTATGCGTTCTATGATTAGTGCAAACTATTAAATACAAAACAACAATTTGTCTTCCTTTTATAATTTTTACTAATATCGCGTCTTAAACTACAAGTGACGGTTTCACGAGTAGTAAATTTTCTAGAAAAGCTCAAGGCACCACCTGGTCAGCGATCGGCCTGCTATACTGGTAGGTAAATATCTCGAGATCCGGGTGTTGAGCAGCCAACTCCCTCACTTCGGCCGTGACCATGACGAGGTCTGTAGGAGTAAAGAGGTCGTGGAGACCGATTCGAAACCGAAACGACACAAGCGAGAGTTGTTGGTAATCATATGTCTTTGACCACACAAAATCTTGTGACCTGGAATGTCAGAGGATCAGAGGAACCTCCGCATTGAGTTTTTCACCTTGAAGTTGATGAATAATGGAATGTTTTTCGATTGCATTAATGGATTGGAAATCATAGTAAGGAAACAGACAAAACAGTTTCAGCAATGATTCGATCATCACCAACAGCTCACCAGACAATTAGTAACGTATCGACGAACCTAGTTCTTCATTAAAAAACCATAAAATATATGTCAAAATGACAAGTAACTCTATCAACTTCTACAAACTACATGGATTTCGCCTTTTGCTCTCAAACATTCTTTTCTGTATTATTGTAATTATCTGCCATTATCCTCTAAAACTGTACGTACTTTGTGTTTATGCATTGTATATACATATGTAAATATATGCACATATATGCATATATATGTATATATGTATGCATTTGCGTCCCTGTAGATGTGTGTGTTCGTGTGCCCAAGAAAGGAGACCGAAGGAATCTTCGTAACTATCGTCCAATATGCTTGTTGAGTGTACTCTACAGGTTGATAACAAAGATTATCCTTTTGTACGTATCAAAAACATTGGATGAAGCAGAACCAGTTTAGAAGTCAGGACTTCGATAAGTATTCTGCTGCTGAAACCACAACCAGACTCTGTCGCCGGTCATAGAATATTGTCAGGAGTACAATTAGCCCCTTGTCCCAACGTTTATCGACTGAAAGAAAGCGTTTGACAGCGTCGGATTGAAACTACATCATAATACAGATTCTTCATCGACTCTTACGAAACAAATCGGAAATGGGGTTCAACAAGTTGACACAATATCGTCAAAGCTGTTTACTGCCGCACTACAGTGGATAACGAAATCACTCTATTGGGAAGAATAGGGTATACCTATTGATGCGAAATTCTTATCAAATCTTCGTTACACGAATGATATCGTTTTCCCTTCGAGAAGTACCAGGAAAACAAAGACGATGCTCAATGAACTAAACGAAGCGAGAAAATTGGACCACGCTTAAACAGGGCGAAGACCCTGTTGATGGAGAACCGTGGTCCGAAGATGAACGAAACGAATTCGATGGTATTTGACTACAGAAACTATCTCGCACGTATCTCTTAAATGTTCATTAAGTGTGGACGACAACATGAAGTAGGAATTAGATAGAAAAAGATAGTGGTATAGGCTGCATTTGGACCTCTCAGAAAAGCCACCGATAAAGTAACGAACCCGAAAATCCAAGCTCGTATTTTTCACTCAGCAGTCCTCACAGCGCTCTGTTATGCAGCAGAAACCTAGGCTGATACTTCAACCGCGTTACGAAATTCACGCGGCACCCACAGTGCGCTTCAGCGATGTCTTCTGAAATTTGACCGCTACTCACAACATCTAGCAGAAGTGCGCAACAAAGATATTTGAAACCTATGCCATCTTCGGGATCCAGGAGAATACACATCGATAGCGAAACATAGATGGGTCGGTCAAGTAATAAGAAGAACAGGTGACATATAGACGAAAAGAAGAGTGGAGGGAGACTTCGAAAGAATGCAAGCGTCGTTTTGGGAGACCACTCAAATGATGGGCGAACGTGTTCGTGGCTAACGTCAGCCATCTGCGCTTGGCGCGAACGTTACTATGCTCAAAGCAGACCACCACCATGGAGACGATTGCGCCTGAGAGAAATGAATGCAAATTATGCTGCCGCCCACACAACCAGTGGAAATGGATCATTGCCATCCAAGTATCCAAGTAGGTAAGTAGATGCGTCTATGTGTGTGTGTATATATGTGTGCATGTATGGTATGTGTGCGTGGCTTGCGTTCGAGCGATATTAATATGGTAAAAAGCCAATGAGTCTGGTGAAACATTTAACGTGGGAGCAATAGCGCTTATTAAATTGAAGGTGAGCGAGCCTTTAAGATAGCGAGAAATTGCTCTCAGTGCTTATCGGTGCACATATTCGAGACAAACCAAAGTTTGTAGAAGGCGAACAGTTGCGACCACTCGTACACTCCAATCACCCAGGAATCGCGATCGTCATTTAGGAACGAACCAGTCAAATTTGCATATTTTACATATTCACGGAGCCATAGTGAAGTGCTTTTCGGACCATTACCTGAAAATTTTTTCTCTCAGGAAGTTTTCTGTACTTGCACTGCATGTAAGGGTATTATTATATTAGGTCGGACTTCGATAATTGAAACGGCTGCCCACATTATGAGCTTGGATCTAGACTTGAAAGCTTGTCAACTAGCCCACTGTGATTGCTTTTAAATCGGTGCTCTGGTAATTGTATGCATTTATGCATGTATGTACGTATACACATACGACTGCATGTCTCTACATATGTGTTATGCGTTTATTCATTATATATTGATCGACGTGTGTGTGTGTGTGTGTGTGTGTGTGTGTGTGTGTGTGTGTGTGTGTGTGTGTGTGTGTGTGTGTGTGTGTGTGTGTGTGTCGGTGCTTGAGTACACATTGATTGCATGTACACGATACGGATACGACGTAGAAACAAATACAACGAATCAGAGCTGTGCATGTGTGAGAAGCCTACAAGGTGATATGTAGCTTCTAAAGTAGTCACAATCTTATTGTGCTATGGCAGGATGCTATGGGTGCGAAAAGAATATTAGAACACTGCTGTCGTACAAGGAGATTCTATCACGAAACGTACAGGTATGGCTTGACTGTGATTCGAATTCAGCTAGTGCTATGTTAACCATGAAGTGTAGGATCAAACATGGCTAAAATGGATGTGTTTTGACCAGGAATGCGTGACGTGTTGTTGAACTGGAGATAACTGACATACAACTTTTACACGAATTGTTTAAACAAACAGTTTTTCAGGTAACTAGTTCTGGGAAGGAATGAGATGGTCAAAAAGTAACGAGTAGAAAAGTGATAAACAAGTGAATGAAGGACTGCCATTGTAATCATATTATGGATACGTTTGAATATTTCTTCTTCCTTTCAGGGTAGTGTTGGATGACTAGGATAAAAGAGAGGTTTTTTGCCATCTGGAAAAGACAGAACGACCTACTGTAAGAGATCTGCTCGAATTTTTGTGCGATTTTCTCTATCCGTTCTCTATTCCTGGGAATTTTCATGTCAGGAGCATTTTTGATAGCGATCTCGATCTTAAAAATGGCAGTTGTTCTCTAAACAATCTTCACTTTTTCTAGAGTAGTAAATCGTACCTGATCACCAGTCGGAAACAGCTTTATTTCTGTTGCGAGCGCCTCCACTAAAGGATCGGTCTGTAGAAGTAATTTATCGTAATCAAGACCTTGTTCCATTATCGTTATTCCATAAACAGAGATCTGAAGACAATTCAGCTATTCCCCTTAGGTGAGGTTTGATCGCCGTGATCGCTATAATTAATTAATGACCACGAAGAGGAAAAAACTCATTGGCTACTGGGATTATGCTTACAAATCTAAACAAAATCATGCAAAAGCAGATAATGAAATTGCAGTATTTTATCGCATTAAGAAGCTTATACAAGTTTGTTATAGAAAGCTCTTAATCGTTGCTAACGTCCTTTCGGGGCGTTAAGTTTTTCAGAACTACGATATTTCAACTCAATGGCGTCAGAAATCCGTATGAGGATCGTTCTTCCTTTGACACAGTACTTTTGAATGAGTACTGCTGAATAAGGTCAATCATTCACACGGAGTCCCACACTCCACACTTTAATTGATTCGACTCGCTGTGATTACGAATACATAAATATCAGAAAAAATTCAAATAACTGCGGCTCTGAAGAAGAGAAAGGACCGGGAAATGCGTCAGCCGCAATGAAAACTTTTCTTTACAATAACTTTAACAAGTTAACCAATGCGAGAAACTGTTGATCGTCGTACTAAAGCAAATTCGAAAACTGATTTCATTTAACCACAACGATGCCGAGATATTTGCAAAACTCCGGTCTGCAAGTGTCTGCGGTAGGGAACGAACGCGCTATTACCGTTCCCGGGCGCTAACGCGTTCACCACCACACCATTCGGGTCGTCCTTTCCTTCTTGGTTGTATTTCACACGATGCCCTGCCGTAAAAAATTGTAGTAGGTAGTAAATAAAAAGGTTAAGATTGTGATTTCAACTTCAGCCTCAGCGTAACTGGAGTCATTGCTGATTTGGGGTCCGCAGATCAATCCCGTTGACAGGTGATTGCTGATGGCAGTGATCGATAAAACTAGCTGAGAGGGAGGCGAAACGAAGGACCCGCAAGGTGTGCTGGTGAACGCATTAGTCTCCGGAAAGGGTACTAACATGGTCGTTACCCATCGCAGACACCTGTGCTCCGGAGTTTAGCAAATATCTCAGCATCATCTTGGTTGTATTACCTCAGTTCACTCATAAGAGCTGAAGGCGTCAAATATATTCAAGCAGCTCACTAAATTCCTTCCAGAAACTCAAAAAATACTTATAAAGATAGAATGGACCCAACTGAAGATAATCAGTGATAAAGAAACCGTGTTCTTTAACTCAACAATATGCTCAGAAAGACAAGCTGTATCCTAAAAAAGTGAAAAAGTTTTAGACAGAACAAGAACGATAAATAACTATGAAGTAGTGAACGTGAAAAAACTAGTGCTTTAAAAAGTGGTCGTTTAAATGCGACCATTTGTGTAAAAATAGAGGCTACGTAGACAAAATTATCACTAAAAATACAAACACAACGATGCTGAGATAATCGCAAAACATGGACCACGGTAAAGCTCGGACCATGATTACCCTTTTCGACGGCTCGCGTAATACACCCTCCGTGGTGCAGTGTATAATACGCGAGCCCCCTAGCCCCCTGAAAGGGTAATCGTGGTTCCCAGCATCGTTGTGGTTGTATTTCACATCATACCCTGCCATAAAGAATTACAGTATAGAGAAAATGAAAGGTTAGCATTACCAATAAAAAGGCAGAAATGTTGGAGTGAATGGTTGAAAGTAGAGGAAAGAACAAGTAAAGATGGCTGTACCATTAGATAAATCACAAACGCGATTCCAATTGCTATTTTCGTTCTAAGATCGAGCAGAAAGGGAACATAGTACCTCCTAAAAACAAGGAGTTTTATTGTAGAAGTGGCTCGGGAAATGACCTTACCTGAAAAATTGGCCCATTTTTCCTCTATTTTTGGCTGCCGGTATGGTTGGTATAGTTTCACAACTGTCCCGAACCTCTTTTGAGCGCTACAATATTTTAAAATACAAGCATTTAAACCGTTTTCTATTATTTCGTGATGAACTTCAATATCTTTCAAATTGAATGGGTTCAAGCGGGAATTGAAGAGGTTCAGGGAAGTGGGTATACATAACGTGCAATAAACGAATGCATGGTTAGTCGCTACAGTCATGCGTCGTGGACAAACCAAGCCCTCCATTAGCGTGGGTTCATCGAATTGGTATCAGACATGGTTGAGAAAATAAAAATGCTGAATTAATAGATCCGTGGGAAAACAACAGGTGATTGTGTAGGCGAAATATGCATCCAACCAAGTACGCTACTTAGTGAAGGCAAATGCATCGTGGTGTTTTCAGGGATTAATCAACACCGATTACACTATTCTTAATCGTTTATTCTCAACCTTTCAAATTATTCCAAAAGTCCCATCTACGAACAGGAAAATCTCGGTACATCGCCTAGACATACATGTCATTCACTGTACTCGGGAAGCATCCATTCTCACTACGTTCGTCGAATTCTGGTATGGCAACACCACTATGGCGATGGATCTCAACAAGACTGGTCGACGCAGCAAACTGCATTCTTACGCCGTCAATTTACTTCAAATCTTCTTTAATTCATCAACAGCCTTAGAATCCATAACGTTATCTGCAGCTTATAGATCTCGGAAATGTAATAAGGCCTCATGACTCCTGAAAGTAATCACCCACTTGATTTTCGTTTCGATTTACCGTAGGCGGACTTTTGTGTGGAGGTGATGTCCCGCTAGCATTGAGGTCTTTCATATGATTTCTGGCTGAAAAGTAAATTTTCTTATCTTTCATATAAAGATATTATTTGTAAGCAAATGTTTATATAATATAAAATAAGTGCGAAATGCGGTAAGATAGGTGGATATAAAATAACGCTCTCTTGACGAGCAAACCATGGCCTGTTGCTATACTACCCTATCTATGGAAAAAGCCGGTGTTGGGAATTACTGCGCGACTTGCATGCAAGACATCTCTGACTTATAAAATAATTCGACAAAATGTGTCTATTCGAAAACTTTTCTGTAAACCTCGTAGATACGTTTATTTATACGTTCTTATAAACTGATCTTGTTGAGCTGATGCGATGTCTGCATTGTTGACGTAGTTGTTGTTTTTGTTGGTCGATGACTGACGTTTCGGCGATCTCGCATTCCTCAGAGCCGTGCTGTTACGAGTGGGACAACTACACCAACCTCGCATCACCTCAAGAAGATCATCGTGTATTCTTTCTTTGGTAGGCTTACACTAGGTTGATAAACAGTTTTATTCGGCTAACGTTTCGACGTCTTCCTCTTCATCAGAGCCGATGATCCGAGTCGATGGACCACGGTTCTTTTTCGTCTCGATGTGACGTCTTCGCCTTCGTATTGAGCTGTGTCGTCCTCAGCGTACCATTTCTCGAATCCATACCGAGATTAAAGAAATGTCGGTTTTAAAATATTAATAAAACCAATTTCTAAGGACGTATAAATAAATGTGTCTAATAAGTTAAGCCTGTGATGTAGAAGCAAGAAACAACGTGACTAAGCTTTTTTCTTTTGCTTCCATTTTTCCTCAGAATCAACGAAGTTTTACCATTCTTTTTTTACTTCACATTTTGAAAAGTTGCAAATGATTAGTAAGAAATGGTTAGTATAAATTACCTCTTTCACTACCAATTATACAGCGTCCAACAGCATCTTTTGCCTTCTCGCTTTCGCTGCCATGAAGATCTTTTGCCTGAATCGCACAAGTACGTAGTGATAAAATGTAATTTACTTTTTTTGGAACGTGGAGTTTGAAACTCATGCCAATTATACGGTTGCCAAGCTCACAAACACACGAACGGGCGTGTGTGGCGCAATGGTCGGAGGCGCCCTGCAACCCACACGCGGAATCGATCCCCGCGCCCATTGCCCGCTAAGCGTTCCATCCCTCTGAGGTCGGGAAATTGGTACCAGACCTGTCTGAGAGGATAGCAGCACCGGCTCGATACATCGATAGGCCGCAGCGAGTCATTGTAAAGGCCAGATATGCATTCAATCACCCCAGCGATACTTAATGAAGTAAAATGCATGGCGCATCCCTCATAGATTGACCAAAGCCAAGTGCTCTATCCTTTACCCTTTTTATCGAACGCGAACGTATTTTTTAATTATAGCTCCTCTTTCAGACATATAGATACGGAGAAACTGGAAGTGAAATAATCCGAAAAACCGACTTTCATTTCACTTCGACATGAATAAGGAATAAAAGAGTAAAGCTCTCGGTGTTGATCAATCCCTGAGAGATCCGCCATGCATTCGACTTCATTAAGCACCGTTTGGAGGTGATTGAGTGCATATCTGGCCTTTACAATGACTTGTTGCGGCCTATCGATTTATCGAGCCGGTGCTGCTATCCTCCCAGACAAGTTTGGTATCAATTTGCCAACCCCGGAGGGATAGAAGACTTGGCGGGCCATGGGCGCGGGGATCGATTCCACGTGTGCGTTGCGGGGCGCCTCTGACCACTGCGCCACACGCGCTCTTTTAGCATCGATAATCAATAATATCTCACGAACTGTTAATGTTTAAGCCAGCGCGAAGTCGGTATCTCTTCACCTTCGGGAGGGTGTATTTGAAGGTTTAAGAACGGAAGACAGTTTTCTGTAGGCTCTTCTTGTGTAAACTTTATCTATTCTAACTGTTCATTCAACACTTCAAAGCATTTGTCCATCTCCCCTTGTATGGAGCAGATGACAAAACAATCATCTAAGCATCGACAGTAGATTAATGGCCGGAGATCGATTACTGGGGCTTCTATTTCAGACATAAATGCAATGGTCACGCTTGGTGCCAATCACTGTTCAACTGCCAACGCTCTTATTTGCAGGTTATATCCTCCGGACCACTTAGATATCAGTCTCGCTCTTGCCTAAATATGAATGGTTCGGAAGTGAAATACTTTGTGTACGACACAAATTTCTGAAGTGCTATCAACGCTTAGAACATCCGAGAGCACAAGGAGTAGCGTGGGCAGAAAGTCTTGTAATCAAAAACTTTTACCATACTGGTCAAGCATAGAATAAACAAAGTTAATAATTAGAAATATAATATTGTACATTGACTTTGCGTTTAACACCTAATGACTAATTCCATGTAGCAGGTGTAACCTTTCCAAAACTAATTTTTTAACGACGAATCCCATGAGTTTCTTAAAACCACCCTCTGATTTCCATCATCACTGACTTGACCGAATTAGCATATTACTATTTGAGAAGAAAAAGGAAACACGTTGCATGTCTACCTTGATGCAGGGCAGAACTGCATTTCTTCCTGCCAGCTGAACTTTTCCAGAGATGACCATCAGACCGGCGAAAAATGTTATCTGAACGATTAGATAAATGCCTCACATTCGTTCACATGAATCACTTGATATAACAGTCTACATAACCGATTCCAACATTTTTTGATGATTAAACGACGAAAAAACTTTCGGACCTGATAGAGCCAAGTGAAGAACATGCAGGCCGACGTCATTGCACAGAATCCCTCGACTGCCATAATGTCGGTGAAGGTTCCGACGCCAAAAGAGAGCACCTAAACCAACTCTGATGTTCTTACTACAACTGTTTGGACGATTTTTCAACATTCTCCATGAAGAACTGTTTTCGGAAGAGGTCGTATTAATAAGTTCTGTTTTGTAGGAGTTCTTTTACATTGCAGTTGCTTCCTCGGTAAAACGTGAAATGATGCAGAAAATGAAAAAATTGCTATCTGAAAGTTCGACAAATAACTATTGAGGTAGTCCTCAAATATTCAACGACTACCCTAAAAGGTTTGTTAGGAATGATTATATTGAAACTGTACGAAAAACAGTTTCCATTAATACTTGGACAGATTTCTAAGCGTGCACCAGCTTACTAAATTTTTTGTAGGAGAGCATAACAATGCTTTGGTAGTTTTTAGACCAACTGCTCACATCGGTGATAGAGGTGATAAATATGGCGACGGACGATTCACTGATGGCTTCGACCATTCGTTTTTTCAGCACTGCATGAGAATTTCCTGAAACTGCTTCTCTTGTAAGCGGTCACATTTAATAAGGACAGTTTGTAATTTTGCTAAGAGGAAAAGATCTGCGAGTGTAGTGGTGAAGTGCGCTGCTCCCCAGTAAGGACAACAGCGCGTGTTCGTTCCCCACTGCATACACCTGTGGTCCGGAGTTTTGCAAATATCTCAGCACTTCACACGAGTTATATTTCACAACATACCCTGCCATTAAGAAGAAAAAGGCAGTAAATAAAAGAGTTAGGATCTGCAAGTGTTCTGAAAGAAGTGGACTCATCGATCACTTCTACTTGAGTATTGTGGACTAGGTTACAAAAAATTGTAGTGCAAATGCTGTTTTCAAACGAAGGTAAACATTAGAAGCTCTGAGATCACAAATCGACGAACCAGGGTATTTCAACTCGGTGTTATGCCAAGCAGCAACCGCAATAAACATGTCGTCAACCCCGATAGCTGAAAATGAAATGTTCTGCAAAGTTAGTGACACTGATAACCAGCAAAAACTCTAAGTTCTGTTCAAATTTCCTTACAAAGAACTAAAAATGGCGAGACAAGTGTGATCTCGGCGAAGAACATCCCACACCAAAGAAGAAGTCCGATACCACTGAAACGGCTATCCATTGACAGTGGTCCGATTTACATGGTTTTGTAGGCATAGGAGGTTTTATAATCGGATCATGACGCTTGTGAAGAAGTATAGAAATATTCATCCGGTTTTCTACGATAAAAAGAAGCTTTTTTCCCTTTATTTCCCATTTCGTACGACTCGCTAATTCAATTGCCTTTTTTTAAAACTAACCATCCTTTCGTTCTTGCCCTTAACAGATGAAAATCTTTAAGAAATTCGTCTAATATCCCTAACCTGATGATAGCAAGTCCGGACGAAAGAACTCCACCAAGAGCCAGAATGGGTTTAGATCGAAGCCAGTCGATACGAACTGAAGGAAGTAAATAAAGAGATGTTTGGAAGATCGCAGGATCTGCGAAATGTAGTAAGTCACGGAAATTTCAAATCCTTTTATAAGCATTGTAGAGGGCTGAAAAGCGAACCATTAAATCTTCCTTTCGTTTTGCTGATGTTCCACTTCATCGAATAAAGTGAAGTGAACGTAATGAGCACAATCACCGTGACCGCAAAGTACGGCTTCAGTCGATTCGCGTTGTTCGTGAGACCTTGGTCTACTATCCGTGAGTGCTTAATGTGACACTAAAAAACCAGTACTCTAACGATATGAAAGCCATGAGTGAAGCAGTGCTGCTTTCGCTAGTGGGAGAAGTCCTGTGGCATCTCCGCTTTTATCACCACATAATCGATCATAAATCAAGAGAGAATACACCTATAATAATGCTGAGAAATCTGCAAAATCTGGACCTTAGGTGTCTCCGATAGCGATCGAACCTCGTTATTACAATTTTCGGGACCTTTCCTCTTTTTGCAAATATCTCACCGTCATTGTAGTTGTATTCCACATCAAGAGAGAATAGTTACAACTGTTACATGAAGTAGAAAACAGCTAAGTTGAAATCTTAATTTGCATTGAAACAAAATCAGCAGCATGCAAGGAAATGAATGCTAACCAATGAAGTGCAATAAATATGACAAGAGCGCCGGAAAGTAAAACATTGGTCAGTGGCAACGTCTCTACTACAATTATAAATAGAACGATACACGGAAAGAAGGCGGCTAGTACAGTGGTAGAAATGCTCTCCAATAAGGGTAAGCTCTGGTTTGACCTCACACTGCAGCAAGGTGGCAGAGCTTTCTAGGAATCTCACTCGATTCACAAGACAAATAAACACCATAGCACAACCATCGCAGGCTGCCAGGTAGGAATGACTCGATCTCAGCGACATTCATAGACCAAAGTTCTCAAGCAGTATGCAAATCCACCTGCAGATTTTGAGATATGAATGATGGATATGAGAAAATGAATCGAATGAATGTAGTGCTGGGATTTCCACGAAGTGATACCAGGTATGAAGTAAAATTAGAATGATATACGTAGGCGTAGGCTATTTTTACACTAACTGAGAAAGCAAAAATTCTAATTCTATCGGAAAAAATTTACAACTGCATGACAAGATCGTAAACAGACCAAGTTCACAACTAATAGTTTCCCCGTGATACTCACCGTTATGTGAGGATTATCGCCATACTTTTCTCTCACGAACTTGGTTGCCGCATCTTCCCACTCTTTGGCCATCTCATCGAAGGTGGAGGTCTCGAATCGCAGAAAGAACCAAAGTCTCATCGCTTTTGCACTCTGGATAGTTTTTGAAAAATTCTCATTCTTGTAAATAATGTTCTAAAGTTTTCGAAACAAAATGAAGTGAAAGAATTAATTGATGCCAACTGTTTTCATGCTAGGCTGAAGTAGTATATGGGTTTATCAAGTCAAGAAGACCCGTTATCATCAAGAGATAACACACTTTAAGCGGAAGTACTAGAAATTATGTGTGATGTTTTTCCGATAGGATCTGACGTAGTGAAGTGGCTATTATAAAACTATTCATCGTTTTAACCGTTCGTATCTTTCAGGATTCACATATAGGTTAAGCAATACTTGATACTTGAATGGACCGTCGTCATTGGTTGTGCTAGCTCCAGCAAAATTTCCACTTTTTCGGAGTTTTCCTGGTTTATCCATTTTGGTTTCCTGGAGTCCTGAGATCAACCTGGCCAAAGTCTTCCCCAGGTCGACACCATCACAGGCATTCGCCGCCATTGCGGGTTAATCCCTAAGCTGCTAGACAGACAGCAGACACCAGCGTTCCGAAGTTTTGCAACTATCTCCAAAATATTATGGCTATATGTCACATAATACCCTACCATTAAAAATTATTGAGCAGCAAATAAAAATTGGCGACATTATACTATATTTTAGCATAATTGGTTACCGATTGATACTCATTCACCTACTTCTCCGTCACAGGTCACAGAGAGCAATTTGGTGCTATAATTAAGCCCCTAGGGTGCATTTATTTGTTTTTGGCTTTGAAAAATAAGTGGAAATCTAACTTAAAAAGCCTTCTATGCAAACAGCTTTAATGTCGTAATACAATATTATAGCGTTCACCTTTATGGTATCATTGGGAAACGTCTCGACACCGCCGACATTGAAAGCTAAATAGATTGGGGTACCTCCTGTATTAGCTTGGGGATAGCTAACAGCTATACCTCTGAAATAAATCCTTTCTTCAGAGTTTTTGCACTCTAACAATAAATTGGAACCTTGCTTCGAGTTGCTGACGATGCTTTAGAAGAGAAATCAGATTTGATTGCCTGTAGCATTCACCGTACCAGTTCATGCAGATGTCCTGAAAGAAGTAAATTGCCATCTTTCCTAGTTTTCCAAAGACCGACTTGGAATATGGTGCTTTCGTGTGTTGCTCATATGCTACATAGTACCGATTAGAAAAATGAAGCGTTCCAAATTCCACGGAATTACTCAGTTTCTCTACTGTTCACGTGACGAATTTGAACCAAAATTTTCTTGAGTTCGTTGTGTTCGTTAGCACACAAAGAAGATTAGGGCGTATACGTCCAAACGTAGGCGGCCTCAGTGGACGATTTGGAAGTACAGTGTATATTTCCAGTTCAACGGGTTACAGAACGCTTTTATCATACTTTCGCTATGTATCGCTATGCTCGGTAGCTAGTCGGAAGCGGATCAATGCAGGATGGTTCGGATCAGGAAACTTTAGAAAGGAAACACGGAAAAAAAATCTAGACTTCAGGATTTACAGAGAACCGCTTTCAGACGAGATCATTGGTCGATATTTCACCTATAAAAAAATTCTTTTATTCATCTATAAAGTAACATATAATTTTTATAGTAACATAGTTTATAATAACAACAACATATAGTAACATTTTTATATAATTCAAACTATAGTCTTTATTGACTATGAATTTGGTCATCCATTAAACAGTTGTGCTATTTCATCTTAATCACTATAATGGATAATACACTTTTTTACATGAGCTGTTGTCAAATGCATTGCGCGGAGCACTTCTTACAGTAGATTGCTTTCCTCGCTTGCTGCACCTACAGTTGTCTTCGAACATTTCGCGTGTTGCTTCGGCTGCTGCCGGATTTGACCTTCCTTACGAATATCGCAGAATGCTGGTTGAGTCAATTCTCCAAAATCTTGGAGATAACTGGGCTAAGGCGTTCCTACGTTGATTGGAAGAAAGCGCTGCGGGGGAGGAGCGTCAAACCTTTGCTTCCTGAGCGACAGCATCACTAGCCACTACGCTACTACCTCCGCAATTGCGAAATAGACTGAATATAAGCAGCAAAATGCCTCCAAATGCTGATAGAAGCACGCTCGCATAATGGACCACAGTAGTATATGGTAAAACGGTAGCACACATATCGTTTGTACCCATAGGACGTTAGAGCGAAGTCGTTACAATAATTTCGTTATGCCCACAACCCCTTAAGTCCTTTAGTTATCTAAACGTTACTGTTTATTATAAAAAAAAAGCTGGCAGGTCCATAAAGGCCGAAAATTAGGTGTCGTCGAAAGTGATAGGGCAACCAAGCACCGTGCTTCCATCTAAGCTTAATGGTTCAGATTCTCCAAAGTATCCATTTGTTCAATTTAAATAGTGACTGCACCATTTCGCTAAAATTATTTACAGCCACACTCCAGAACGTCATGCGACCACTGGAATTGGATAATATGGCAGTGAAATGAAAATCGATGGTAGGTAGTTACACCATTCTCGCTTTGCTGATAAAATCATCCTTATAACACCATACATTAGCCAAGCGGAACGTGTGCTTGCCGACTTTGATAAAACCTGTGGAACTATTGGTCTTCGACTAAATCTCACAAAAACGATGTTGATTATGAACGGATTGGTCGTATGCCCCATGTAATGACAAAGGTGCGCTGGACATGTAATGCGTATGAATGACAACCGATGGACAAGAGCCGTTAGTGACTGAATTCCTCGCGATGTTAAACGCACTACAGGAAGACTATCGACTCGATGGTCAGAGTTCTTCACAAAGAGCCTTGAAGAAAGATATGATGCTCGACGAGTCCCTAGAGAGAGCAGAACCCACTGGACCACTCTTGCACGCGACAGGAAAAAATGGAAGATTTACAGGCTCTCGCTCCAGTCACTCGACGATCAACGGGACTACAGGTGATACATGTGAAATACTGACTGGAAAGGAAAAAGCAACCGTTGAAATTGAAATTGTGTCTAATCAGTCCATCGGCATGTTTAAGGAAAATTCAGTAAGTGTAGCAAATTTGAGTGTTTCCTACATTTTAATTCCAAAGTTGTCCACAGATGTATTAAAAGCATTAAGAAAACTGAACTGATTTCAATTCTTACCTGAAAGGTGACGGTTTCGTTCATGTTCAATGTGCTATTGTCTCTCCATTGCTGCTGCATAGGAAATGAGACATTCGTGGCCACATCGGCTTCTAGTCTCTCGATTTCTTCTAAGTATGGCCCTAAACTGATGATGAAGCTCTTATGGGAGAATTCTAACAGAGGAACACTAAGAAAGTGATTTGGAAAAACTCTTCAGTCAACTAGCTCGGCAACCCTCATAGATAGCAAGTAAGGGAGGTATAGGTTTTGAGGTAGGTGTGTAGTAATGATCATTACCATTGAAATGCGCCATGCTTTTCGCAGTCCGATCACTAAGTCACTGTCAGTGGGAATGTAGATATAGCACGTCAGATGTCTACCGATACTCTATTCTACTGAATATTTTCTTTTCTGATTTCTAAGCATTTTACTAAGATGGTCCTTCCTGCTAGCAAAAAAAGACAAAATTATCCATCATTTTTATTACTGATTCTTCTGTGATAAGTGGGTATGAGGTTTACGTTTTTTATCGAATTTCCGATGGCATGAAATGATTTCTCGATTTAATTGTTCTTGATTTTCATTATCTTTCAAGGCTCTATGCATGAGTCCATTTTTCACCAAATGTGGCATTTCGTGCAGAACAGTGGTCAAAGGTGATAGCAATGGAGACATGATCGTTTGTTCCCTAAGCCTTCGGCTAACGAACCTTTCGGCTCCATTAAATCGGAAAATTCGTGCGATTCCTGTATAGAAAAACAGAAACATCGAATTTGTAAATTAGCAGGCCCCCAGACGTCACTATATATAGGAACTTTGTACTGAATCATCTATCCCTTAGGAACTGATCAACGACGAACGCTTTATGCTTTACGCTTTTAGGACTAAACAATTGAAAAACATCTGAAGCAATTGCTTAAGGGTTTGAAAACCAATGTTCTGATGGATAGTGCCTTTATTCACATGATCCCCTTTAAAATCTATGACGAAAGCCCTAATGGGAATTTCGATAACTGATGTTATCATTTCTTCGATACTTGGATGGCCCACCTTCACTGGTTGTTGGGGTCCCAGCATAATCTCCATTTTTAAGAGTTTCGCTGGCGTAACCATTGCAATTCCCTGGAGTCCCAAGGTCAGCCTGGCGAAAGTCTGCCCCAGGTCGTCGCCACCACATGCAGTCGCCGACCCCCGCTGTATATCGCAGCGCGACACGGAAGAACACCTCCCAGCCACGATGAGGCGGTAATCTGTTGGAATTTTGTTATCACTAACCGTTCAGAATATCCGGATAAGATCCATTCTCATGAAGACGGCCATGAACGACTAAATACAGATATCTTCTCCACTCGAACGTACGCTCCGGTAGAAATTCATTCGGTTTCACAGGCCAGAGCTTAAAAAGCGATAGAATCAGCAGCAAAATATGCGAATCTCTTTCATAACGATGACCAAGAAGCATTCGGCCGCACTTCATTCATAATCCGCTCTTCTTCCCATGAAGGAGCGCTGACTGGAGTGTACAATCTGCAACTACGTATGTTAATTGACGATCTTAGTCGCAGTGAACTAATTGGAAGAATAACAACGACTGACTTCTTCGCATCTAGCACAGTGAGTTCTTCTATCCATATAAGTCCACAACCGAGAAATGCTGTCATAATGAGAGGTGCAATAACAAATATCTGAACGAAAATTCCTTTTATCTCCAAGAAGTTTTACGTCCTAAATTGTCTGCTCTTTAATGGATTTCTTAACGTCTCTGCTTAGAGCTAACCATTTTCACAAATATGTCTGTAACGCAACTACTGTTATGCTGAGATATTTGTAAAATCTGAACCCAAGCCGACTTCAAACTGGCGATTACTGTTTCCGGTGGCCTACGTGTTACCCCATGCACCACTGAAGTTAGTTCTTTTCCATTCTCTTAGCCATCTTAACAGGGTTTAATGTCGATTTGTGTGCCTAAAATCAGTCTTCTTGACGGGTGATTGCTGACGGCACTGTTAAGTAGAAAATTGATTGAAAGACATGCAAATCAAGGGCCTCAATGGTACAGTGGGTAACACGTGAGACCCTGGAAGAGTCGTTGAGTCACATCCGGCCTGGGGTGCAGCTTTTGCAATTATCTTAACATCATAGTGGTTGTATTCCATATCATACCTTTCCATGTAAAATTTGGGTAGGCAATAACTAAAAAATTGACGCAATGTCTTTAATTTTCCTTAAAATCCTTATTATTAAGAAATTTGTATAGGACTGGTTACACATTAATTCCCACATAGGCTTTCGACAACTCCTGACAGGTTTTGGATCAATAGATTTATTGAGGACTTGGAGTCCTAGGGCCACGCCGACTCAATGATGCCCTTTTAATGTTTTTGAAAACTGTAACACAAACTGCAGCGAAATTCCACCTAATTATTCGCTTTACTGTTCGAAATGCCAGCTTCAATGAAAAAAAAACGAAGAATCTGTTGACTCCAGAAGACTAGAATTTCCGTGTAAAATAAGTAGACCTGCCTCTTTTCCGCAAAGACCTGTACATTCCGATGATTCTTATTAAGGGGACAATATGGCCAACATGACCTCTATGCAGGTCATTTTCTCATTGAAGGCTTATCTTGATGCACAGAACCACTTCCTGCACTTTTGGCAATCGATCGATCGCTTACCCAAGATCTACGTTTTGGATAACGTCGACCGAAGAAAAGTTAGTTCTGCACTTGTAAATATCCAAAGACCTTCCTATGAACAAGTTCATTTACCGGTAATTTGACTGGCAACTAACTATGTACTTTAACTGTAATCGTTATAATAAAACATAGTTAACGTATAGAGCGGTCAGGTATAAAAATATGGAAGTGGACTTGACTGAGGCTGCAAAATGGGTGGGTGGTGGACCACAGTGACATGCTGTAAATAATACCACACATGCATACCCCTGCAGTGACATACCATTCTCCTCTGTACTTGATTTAATGATCGTATATATGATTTTAGCCTCTCAAGTTCTCTATATATTAAAAATTATCGTCCGTTGTTGGAAAACCAGCATGTTGGTAACGGGCAAAAACTAGGTGTCATCCCACGCACCAACCACATTAAATCGGGTGTCGCTTCGAATGTGTTAGACTTCACAACGGCTTGAGATATTTGTCTTTGAGGTTGATAGGCCAAGGTATTTTCAACTATCCCTTGGATCGATATGAATCATATGGGTGTCAGTGTGTTAATAAGTTAGAGTGGTTACACGCAGTTAGAGAAATAAATATTAAGGATTTGAATAAACATCTCGAAGTCCCAAATTTTTAACCAGAAGCATATATGAGTTATAGATTGCAATATACTCCTCGTCTAGATGCCATTTCAACGCCATGACTGTGTATGCTTTTTTTGTGAGTGGCAACTAGTCACCATTGCCAGTTCCAGAACCTTCATCCATATCTAACCTGTTGCCGAGCAAATAGTATGTGAACCCGACCTCCATTTTCGATTTAAATCAATTGGGAACGCAACAACACGAAGCTACCGTACTTTCGTTCAGCAACCAACTCAGGAGCTCCCAGTCACTTACCATGTAATAATCAACGAGGAGATGTTGCGTGTACCATTGAAACACCCTCTCCAAAGGCTTGTCGAGGGTTGGAAACACACATCGCATTACTCGTGTTCAGTTCCGATCACACACGTTGTCTACTGATCCCTTAAATCGTTCCTTTTTCAAAGCACACTATGATTTTTGAGAAATTCATTAAGGATTAATACATCGGGATTACTTTTTGTGCAAAATAATGTTCCTTTAATCTTCTCCTAAGGTCTGCTGCAACGCTTGAATAAAAGAGTAATGAAATGGACTATTATAAAACAACAAATCGTTGAAAAGGCGGAATTCTGAGAAAGATATTGATGTTATCAAGCACCTTTGATTAGGTTGATATAAACCGAAATCCGGAATGATGTAATAGAGGGCAACAAAATCCGGTAGGTTCTCTGTAGATAAGTGCTTAAATGCGACGTTCCGCAAAAAATGATTCATTACACAATAGAAATATAGGTTTCCTCTAACTATTTATAGCATAGTATTTACAGCACTACAGTATGCTAGCTGTCCCTTATGAGCCGATGAAAGGTGCTTAATAAAGATCACTTAACCGAGACACTTATTTCATCTTCCTGTCGAGAAAGGCTTATACTTTGCTTTATAATAGCAACAAATGGTGCAAAATAAAACATTTCAAATGTACTAGACGATGAAAAAAGACAGAAATCACGTCAATGTGCAACAGACGAATTCAGAAGAAATTTTGTTTGTAGTGAGCATGTTTCACCGTTTCTATTGCAATAAACATCCTCTCAAGAGGACAGAACGTTCGGGATCTTACAAAAACACTAAAGGCGGATTGCAGACGAAGTTAACCGATTTCAAGTCATTTAGGCGATTTACCCCCTTTCAAGGACTTCGCGATTAGCCGAGAAGCGCGAGATGCACATCGCGACATCCTGAGAAGGTCGGCACGACCACGATGGTGACCTTGCGGGCCGTCGCGCGGCGCCGGAGACTGGAGACGCGACTTCGCCACGATGCCGCCGGGATGTGGGAGAAACTGGTCGGATGGCATTGATCACCGCATGGAACGGAAGCGAAAATCTGGTAGAGTCCCTTTCCACTTCAAGCTATTCCAGTCTTATCCAGCCCAAGAGGATCCCAGCCAGTCTACCCAGAGATTTTACGACGACGACGACGACGACGACGACGACTCCTAGTGGATTCTTCTTCCACTAGAGGTTCACAATTTTCGTTTCGCTGTTATGCTGTTATGAAGTAAACACCGCATTGTGAAAGCCATTACTCGACGAGTACGGCTGCAGCTAATCGCCTGGTATTTTTGAAATGACCTCCTAGATATTCCTATTTCTTGTTTAAACTGCTAAGTGCTATAAAGGTAGAAAATGTTTCATTTAGTACCTATAAATCTGTAGAGTTTAAAAATTTTTGGAAGAACCCTTCATTTCTAATTCAATTTTTCACTAGGTTTCTAGGCACCACTTTCCTTATAAAATGTAATCCTAAAGTCTGATTTAAATTATTTCCAATCAAATATGATCTTTTATTTATTGAAAACCTTTGTCCAGAAGAGAATGGAGCCTATGGCGATGTCATGTTCACACAATTACGAAATTTGAGCTGTAAAAGAAAGTACTGAGCGGATGCATTATTTCCGATGCCTCCTTTGCCGTTCTTGCGGGCGTTTCTTCTCTAGGAGTAAGCAGTTATCACATATGGATTTACACTTCAGCGGCAAAATGTGATTTGAGGATGTGACTAATTCTTCTCTAGAAGTTTGAAGTAGTTTCAACATAGAAGGGGGAATGAAGAATATACTATGGGAATATCAGTAAGGGTCCTGTTCAGTGGATCAAACGCGGGCCTTCCGGTAGTGGTCGGTAGCGCTCTGCTCAGTGGGGCGCCAATTGTTTTGACGAGAGGCGCGTAAATACCCTAACATACAGTCACTGCGAGCGGTTGGCGTGTGACTTTTCGTAACTAACACACTTGTCCTACACTATTCTAATTTTCGGCTTCATGCTTCGGTTCTTCTAAAGGTTTTTTTGATAGCCTTCATTGGTTGGTACCCGTTTCACCTTCCTCGAATTTTATAGCGTAAATGTCTCTGTGTGTTAGCTACTGACGAATTTGGACTGTTGAGTTAAAAATGGAAATCAAGAGAGTCTTAGCAATTTTTTGAACGAATTCATAACTGGTTGTAAAGCAATGGGACCCGTCGTAATGTTGGTGTTTCCCTCTGTTTTTCACCGTTTTTTCTTTGTTGTCCACATCTTAACATGCGATTAAAAATGACATGCGACTGAAATGACAGCCGGCGACATCCTTCATAACGGTTGATTGAAGCATCGGGACAGTTCCCGAAGCAAAAAATTGCTTTAAAAGATGGTTACGACGAGTTGCTGCTACTTTTTATACAGACTCATCTACTAAAATTGTTTTAGTTTTCGAGAAATCATTATAAAACATCAACGATCAGCAACCCGAGAACTCTGAGACTACGTGTTGCACAACTATCGGTACAGAAGTTGAATGAGTTACGTTGGCACCGCTCTCCAATTGGTGACAGCATTATCACACATGACGGCAACTACTTGCTCAAAAATTTTGTAACACCGAAATCGTTGCTGAAACGGTCTTTTAAGGATTAGCGGATTCCGGAGCCTGCAGTCATGGTGGTGGAATAAATATACTTCTAGGTTGTCTTGTTAACGAGGATATGTACATTCTAGTAGTTTTATCACCACGACTAATGAAATTTGGGATATGTGCAACCTAGGTTAAATAACTGCAATAGTTCCCAAATAAACTGACATTTTGACAAAGTTCAGTTTTCGAAGGAAACGTTTCATCTTGTAACGTGCTTAGTGCATATGTTCATGAAATAACGGTTACTGAGGTAGCCTGGCAGCAGGTGTTGGATGGTATGTGTGCAATTGTCAATTAGTTTCCGCTAACCAATGGACCCTCAAAGAAATCACTCGGACAGATATTACAGAGAGCTGGAAAGAAGCTGGATGTTTATGAATTCTATAAGAAAGAAGATCATTTTGAGCTAGAATGCTTTCAGCAATGGAACGTCCACACTCTGATTAAAATGACGAAAAGTCACACTGTGAGTTGTATTAGTGTATTGATCGTGCTAATAAAAAAAAACTAAGTCTTTAACTAACCCGGTCTCTGTCGATTGTGCCGTTGACGGATCACACTCATTATAAAGGGCAGAGAGTTAGAGGAACTTAAATTTATTTTTATAAAAACAACTGAACGTTAGTTATGAACGGTATTGTTACTGCTTAACAGATGTCCAGTCTTTGCACAGGGTGTTTTACAGCTAAACGTAACTGCTCTAGAGAAATTAAGTGAAATTGCCTGATGAGGAAAGCTGAACACATAGAGATTTTATAAGTTCTTGTGAAATACTTTCTCATGTAGGCATCTCACAAAACACCCCGACCTAGAACGTGTCTCTGCCATGATTTCTAGTTTAATAAGAGGGAGATACAGATGTCACCATGTAAAATTGTGCGTAACGTTGTATCATTACATGCATGTGTCTCTAACTAAAAGGTGTCTTATATGATTTTGTTCAGCTGATAACTTCTACTTTGCGTAATCCAATTATCTGATTTCATCAGCGACCGTTTTCCCGAAACTCACGACGGTACAGAAGATCTGTCCCTTCTCTCGACTTCTGCACCGACGCACCAAGGTTCAATATTCTGCTGTTGAAATGTCTTTTTCTCAAAATACCCTTGATGCGTATTCAAAATAGCATCCAGTAATTTATCACCTCATTAATGAGAGCTGTACGAGCGTAAGGAACTGCAACGTAGAACGATTGCTGATCTCCTTGGAGGCTCATATAACCTCATAATAGTTCGACATTTTCTTTCAAAGAAAGATCAGTTACGAATAAGCCTATTCTGTGGTGAAGATCACCGAGAAACACAAGGATTGGAGGCACGCGCGAATGGGACGAACTGACTTTACTGATACCGTCTATGCTAATCGGTGATCAGTGCGATCAGGGTTTTCACAATGTAAGATTAAAGATTGGTGCCGGTAATCTAATAATGTTGTTTCTTCGGTTAGTAATCAGAAAAGGATTCTTTTTAGTGCACCTCTATTGATTGACCTTCACCGCTATCACCTGTAGTCCCGTTAATCGTCGAGCAACTCGAGCGGGCGCTAGTAAATATACCACTTTTCCCTGTCGCATGCAAGAGTAACCCAGCGCGCTATGATCGCTCTAGGAACTCGTCGAGCATCATCTTTCCTCTAGGCTCTTCGTGAAGAACTCTGACCATCGAGTCGGTAGTCTTCCTGTAGTGCGTTTAACATCCCGAAGAAACCAGTCACTAACGGCTCTTGTCCATCAGTTGTCGTTCATACTCATTACGTGTCCGGCCCACCTTATCCTCGACTATTTGGCGTACAGAACAGCATCTTTGATTTTTGATCGTTGACGCAGGTCGGAGCTTCGGATCTCATCCCTTACTTGTGTGAAATGGGACACTCCTAGTATCGTCCATTCGACTGCGCGTTCTGTAACGCTGAGGGGGTCCTTTTTTGACTGACCTTAGAGAAGAAAAAATAGATAATTTCCAGCTATAGAGAAATTGGCTATCGCGGTTTTTCTATTTCATAACCAGTTTCAATCTTCGTTGAGTTTAATGAAAATCATCTTCGATCTGCTTGAAAAGTAGAAGATATGGAGTATTGAAAAAAAAAAGTGGAACTACACAATGAAAATTAGAACATGAATGAATAACTACATACGATTCGTAAGAATTCTGCCGCTAAGCGAACCTGGAACGATTGTTTTCTCTTAAGTAGAGCTCTAAGAGAGAATAGGTCCTGGTCCTGTGTTATAGCCTTCTGGCAATTAGGACGACGTTAAAAGACGACAAAAACGAAGGAATTACGATCTGCTATCAATGCTCGATTCCTGATGACGTGTATGGAACTTTCTATTATCCTGAGAACAACGATAGCTAGAAATCTCATAAAACTTTTCTCGTTAGTTCTGATTTGTGCTAGAAAATAACCTATTGAAAAATTCTGGCCAAATAACCTTGACGTCATCGATATGGTAAGGGTTTTAAACACTTAACGTTAAAGGAATCGAAAAAGAAGAAAGAGGAAGTGCGTTACTTGAGATAACACTCAGAATCAGCATACCTATTTAGTGCTTAACCAGGAAAAACGGTGTAGAAAAACAAAGAAAGATAGGAAAAATCCGAAAAGTGGAAGAAAATGAGCTCGTTCAGAAGAATGGGCTTTAGATGTTCGCAAGCATAATCATGTGCTGAGGCTAAAGTAGAATTCAGCTATGTTCTTCCAGAGAAGAATGCGCTGAGATGGTAGCAAGCCTTAAATTATAGAGGAAAAGCTATTCATCGTTGGAAAATATTCTAAACCATAGCCGATTCAATTGATGAATGCAACAAGAAATTCGACGACTGGTTACTAGACAATGAGACATTGAAACTGCGTGGCAGTGATGAGTGATGGAAATTGCTAACGAGAAAGGAACACGATCCGACCAACTGGCGAACATCCAGAAAGTGTCCTGATTGCAGTTATTATTGAACGGAGCACTGATCCGACCACCTAGAGTGATCGCAAGAGAAAATGCGCCAGGTAGAGATAGACACTGAGAACTTGAAATGCCGTCTGTTGCTGATGACGCATGTAAAAGCGAGATTCACCGTGGATCAGACGGAAATCCCCCTAGAGAATCTTTTCCAGCCCTTTCCTCATAGAAAACACATTTAAGGAATTGATCTCTATCAAAATGGTATATGTTTACTATATTTTTGATTACAAGTGCGGTAAAAGTTGTGTCAGTTCTTAAACAAATGAAATAATATCCGTCCATGGGATAGGCAAATATCCTACGATTCGGTCTTCATCCACATGACTAAGATGAGCATAATCGCCAAATATGTAGTGAGGAGCTACCGAAAGAAGACGTGACAAAACGAGGCATGAGGCCGATGCGATCGATTTGAAGCTGACTTGATAACTGGAACTGGAGAATACCAGCCGCACAACAATACAGACGGCGAGTGACGGCGAGCTCTTCGACAACCTGTCCGTTTCGGCCTCATTTCTTCACTTACTTTCCTCCTTAAAATGAGGAAAACCTGTTGATTCTACGAATTCTTCAGGGCAGCAGCAACAGCTCTCCCAGCGACATGTACTATGTAGTGCCTTTCCTTACGAAAATAGCGAAACTTTCAAATCTGGTTCTTTCCTGTGCGGCCATAGTTGTGACAACAACCTTACCGAGAGCGTTATTCGCTTTGCTTAGGCTCGATATTCATATTCCGTTAAAGGAGTTTTTGCCCAGTATGTGAACATTACACCAGATGTCATGTATAAGACATCCCATTACTCTCAGCAGATGATTTTAAAAAAGGGGACATGAAAAACGAAGTTAGAATTCACAATGCTAACCTTTTATTTGCTGTCCACTATAATATTTCACGCAGAATATAATGCGAAATACAGCCACAATGATGCTGAGATATTTGCAAAACTCCGGACCGCAGGTGTCTGCGGTGGGGAACGAGCGCGCTATTGTCCTTTGCGGTGAGTAACGCGTTCACCACCACACCATGCGGGTCCTTCGTTTCGCCTATCTCTCAGCTAGTTCTATCAATGGAAGAATAGGCAGTAAATGAAAAGGTTAAGATTGTGATTATAAGTATAGCCTCAGCTAAACTGGGCTCAATGCCGATTTGGACTCCCCAGATCAATCCCGTTCACGGGTGATTGCTGATGGCAAAAGATCGATAGAACTAGCTGAGACAGGCGAAACGAAGGACCCGCATGGTGTGGTGGTGAACGTGGTACTCCCCAAGAAAGGACAACAGCGCGTTCGTTCCCCACCGCAGACACGTGCGGTCCGGAGTTTTGCAAATATCTCAGCATTATAGTAGTTATATTTCGCAAAATACCCTACCGTTAAAAAGAATAGACAGTAAATAAAAGGGTTAAGAAACGATTAATAATTCAGGCTGTTTGCGAAGAAGGAATAAGCTATTCTACCGAGTAATGAAGGCTAAAATTAGCTCTGAAGAAGAAGGCGCCGAGTCGTTAGCCATGCAATCTCTTGCTAGCTTATCAACAAAGGAAAAAGCTATTCAAGTTGAAGCTAGCGTAAGGTCACAGATAAGTAAGCACCTACAAAATTTCAATGGTGTTGGCGAAACGAAATTTATTTGTCTCTCTACAGATAGATGTTCAAAAAAGCCAACCGGGTTTTCACTCTGTTGGTAAGCTTAGCCAGACACCTGGAGTCTTAGTAATCTCGTGCTACGTTATCGATGTTCTTAGATCGCGGTAACCTCGTAGTATTACTTATTTCGCTTTTTAATGCATATGATTCAGAAAGAAAACCTGACATTTTGCATTGCTTGGTTGTTCCCTGATTTCCTACTACCGATGACTTACTTCTGTCGATATATGTTTGTGTATAACACTGCCAACAGACGTCATTATCACTGCGATGAGCTTAAAATTGCCAAAATGTTCTGATAAAGAGCGCAAGCAGTCCAAAATTTGTGGCTTAAGCAAACGAATGAAAAATTCGCGTCTACAGCATAGTGGAAAGTGGGATGCGGCGACTGACGCCGCCAAATGATGAAGCTTTTCCAGTCGACGACCTCGGCACGGAGCGGCGGCGAAATACCCTCAATCCGCCGCTTGCACTCAAGGACACAACAGTACTTAAGCACCGATTACGCACAGTGCCCGTTCGCAATATCAATTACGAAATCAGAAAAACAGCACGCCGTTTGCACGGCTCCGGTTCCGTTTCGATCTCGACAGCGTTAGTTCAATGACGATTCATTCAAGAAAAAAATCGTGAGCAGTAAGTTTCGATTTCGATCGACGGCCATTCAGATACATACCACGCAAGTGTTACGTTGCAGCTCTGAAATGGTGCACATCTATTGGTACATTACATTACCTAAGTCTATTGTTAAGAAACATCTACCAAAAAAGACTTGATTAACTCAAGGAGAAATTATCGACTTTAAAAGCAAACTGTTTCTTAGAATAACCCTATCATATGGTTAGGATCGGGTAGGGCACTCTTTCGTAAATTGGTCTAAATGAGTGTTTCATGGGCCCAAATTACAAGATTTAATAGCAAAAATTTGTCGGAATTTGAGATCCAACACATTTGGATATGTATTAAATAGTGGGACCAGCGATGTTATAACCAGCGGTACCGTAGTTGATACCTGGATTCGGCGATTTCAGACAGGATTTGATATATCCACATTTTCCAAAACCCACTTGGTGTGGAAAATGGGTAAAATGAGAATAGGTGTAGAAAGGATACAATATGAAGTTTAAAAATTTGAAAAATTCGTATGGCGAAAACATACCACTTTTCTGGACATCCGAATCGGCGTGCAACGGCGAAGTGAAGGAACGGGTGTCCTCTAAAATAACTACATAAAAACATACTTACTTGATAGTTTATACTTGAATGGCCCGTCCTCACTGGTTGTGCCAGCTCCAGCACAATCTCAATTTATCGGAGATTTGCTGGTTAAGCTACTGTGGTTCCCTGGGAACTCGAGGTCAGCGTGGCCAAAGTCTGCCCCAGGTCTTCACCACCACGGGCAGTCGCAGCCCTTGTGAATCAGAGAAAGGTTTACCACCATGCGACTTTGATACCAAGACGGTGGTGGATTTTGGTATTGCTTTACTCCTAGCTAGGCTTCCTGATGGAAACGCCGGACTCCTTCTCCGATTGGAAAACCTTGCCATGGGATGATTTCTCCCTGTATATCGCAGTTCGACACCCAGGAACACCTCCGAGCCACGATGAAGGGGTAAACCGTTGGGAGGAGAAACACAACTTGATGAGAAAAATAAAAACACATACACGGCGATTACAGTCGCTCTTTTGAAGCATCAGCCGAAATTGATACGTTGTGTGATACTTTTGTCCATCAAGTACTGTACTCTTCGTTGCCTGAAGACGTTACACTGGATGGATAAAAAGAAACTAAATAAGGGTGTGTGGAATTAACTTTCTATGGAAACCTGGTAGCTTTCGCCAGACGGCACCCACCACATAGAATCTGGTATCTGATTATTAGATACTGGTATTGCTTTTCTGTATATGAGATCCTAAACGGAATGATCAGCATTCCAACACTTTTCAATAAAGTCGTTGAAAAATCGTCCCTTTATTTGAGTTGTGAACTTCTGCGAAAAATAAGGAGAGAAAAAACCCATTCTAAAAAAAATACAATTTTATCTTAGCAAGGAGTAAAAAAACCTGCTTCTTGAGACCAAAAATATATAGATTATTCATTAACATCGACATTTCATCGATATTATCCGAAGAAATAATTTCAACCAAAGCCTGCGTCTTCATGAAAATAATACCGATAATTTTGTTTAAAAGTGATAGGCGTAGTCATTTTCAGACATGTATGAGTGGAATTCATACATCTTACTCGATGAGTTCCACGAAGCTGCGTGGCGCTCCTCGGAAAGGTGGGAAGGGAAGATGAACGCGCTGCACAGATAACTTTGCGCTCCTCTTAGTCGCAACTGAATGCAGGAAATGAAACGCGTTTTCTGCTGCTCCGGTTTGGCACATGTTCGCATATATGTAGATTGTATTCTACAAGACAAGCTGACCATTAGCTTCCAATTAAACCACTGATAAGAACATGGAAAGTGACTGAAGCAGCTTCGAAAAGGTAAGCTCCGTGGAATTCTGAAAGAGGCTGGAAAGCTATCCGTGATTGAGTCATTCGCTAACACTAACAGCTCGACACTCTACTCATTGACATCAATATACAAGCAAAATGTAAAATAAATGGGCATTATTTCCCTGCACTCGTAACAGTTTACGAAACAGTAGTGTCGTCTAGGTGTAGTACGAACAAGCCGGTAAAATCTCGAATCCGTTCTGGGCTGGCCAAATGTGGAATGATTAAGATGACAGTGTGTAATTATAATACACTGCCCACTTTCATATGGGTCCTCTCAGTCCATGCAAGGTCTGATGATGCAGACTAAAAGTATCACCGAACTGGTCGCGAGCAAAAGATGCCAGTCATTTACCGTTGCCTATGGTGGTGAAGAGTTATTCCTTGGAAAATGGGAGAGTAGAGGAGTCGGCAGCGTTGACATCCTCGTAAACACGGGTTTGGCCATGAATATCAATTCATTTGAGCAACTAACAACCCTAATGGGACCTTTACTGTTGAAGAGAGCTAAACCTGCGTTGATAATCTTCGTCATCTAGGCACCAACATAAAGCATAACGAAGACGAGGTTGAAACGTCCTATACGGACTTGGAGAAGTCTCACGGAAAAGATTATACTTTCTTTAAGATCAGTATTGGCGATTTCAACTCTAAGACTTGTCCTGAGAGAATCTCTTAATCACATAAAACTCTGGGACCCATTGGATTAGAGTGAAACGAGCGCGGTGAGTAGCCGTCTGAGTTTATCACAACCAGCCAGACGGACCATTTACTGCTTCCAGAAAGGCGATGGAGAAAATCACACATGACTACCACTTGTGCGTCTTCAATAGCCACGTCCTCCTCCCCTTGTATGAAATAAAGGAAGTCGTCCTCTGGTTCTCTAGTCCGAAATCCGACACACTACTTCGTCGGTGGAGAATTGAACTACACCTAGTCGAGTGAGAGTAAGAATTGAGCACCTGAAGAACCTTTTGCCAGTCTTCATCAGCACACGGGTTCGGCTCATCACACATTACCTGTCATAATGCAAGGTACCTATTCAATAGAAGAACAGATCGTGTTCAGATGTTCACGAAGGGCGACCTCTAACTGTCGCCAAATCTGCTTGCTGTCTATAGTCTTCTTTTTTCGCTCGAGTCATCCAAAACAGGATTGACAAAACACTGCAAGATGGACAGCTATATAAACAAACGATGTTTCGAAAATGACTTACTACGATAGATGACAGCCGCGCGTTAAGAAGACTCATTGAAGTATAGCGGGAGTACAGGAAAAAGCTCTGCCTCTCTTTCATTAACACAGAAATGTTTTCGAATCAGTTGTAATTGAAGATGTTTCAGATGCTTTGTAGGGCCTCAGTGTCACTGTAAGAGGGAGCTTTCAGTAGGATCTAAAGTGTGTTGAAGAATACGGAAAACACACGGTTTTTTAATGCATGCGTCTGAAACCTGGTTGCTGCGTAAGCGGAATGGAAGTAAGATGGAATCACTCGTCGCAATCGAATACGCATCGAGAAGACGATGCTGGGGGGATCTCGTATCAAGGAAGAGAGAGGAACTTCGAAGCTGCAACCCACATGGGCGATTAAGGATCAGAGACGCCGTCGTGCACTCCAGGACCTCGAAAATCAGTAAAGTCAAAGACGTACTGAAAGTAAACGGCGATAAATTAGCACGAGTTATTAGAGAGTAGGATTCCACGGCATACCAACTGCACAGCAGGAAAACCATTGACCCTACGGTCAGAAATTTTCACGAAGACGTTAGAAAAAATGTGGCACTCAGTTTCATAGTAAGCAGAAGCTACTACTCATGTACGCGATAGAGGCAATAGAAACTTTACTGTGCCCGCTGAAGTCACTCCATGATCAAATGTAGAAAAGTCATGAATGAAAGCCATTTCATAACTGCCAATCCGCTTATTGTAAGAGATGGAAACAATTCAACACATCGTAGATAATGTGTTCATTACTGCACACGCTATAGATTGCTGTCTTCTTTCAGAGACCAATCACGAGTTCAATTTTATCAAATTTTAGATAGCGCAAAATCATATTTACCTAATCCATGAGTGAACGAAAAAAATGAAGTGCAAGATGCACCATCACTGAAGTCCTCCAACATTGAGCGTTTCATATTTCTTATCCCATGGCGAATATTTTTTCTACTTTTTATTTTATACCACCAGTCCTTGTGTCTACTGTGTGGATCCCTGCACTTCTCACATTCGATTCGTTTCCACGCAACCATCATTCACTAATGTCTTCTAACTTCTACGTGCGGAATGGCCTCCCTGCTTGAAGATTTCCATTTCATCTTGAATGTCGTGGAAGGCTACTCGAGTCGATTCTTCCATGAGTGCTAGGATAACCTAGCTGGGGCGCTCTCAATTGGATTGTAGAGAGTGATTTTTTCCAGAAAGTACGGCACCAATTTACCGATCCCTGTTAAATTCTCATGCATTTCACACAGTGTTCTTTACACTCTTGCAAATTCTAAATTTCTTTGAAATTGAATTCTGATCTAAAGAAGTAAAACAAGATTTTGCGAAACAGGTGTAACCAAGGGCACCAAACTCTTCAGTGAGTACTGATTTGTCACGCACAAATCACTGCTTGACAGCTAAACTCAAGAAGATCGCCCGGCAATCTATTAATCTTGAAACGAATCACAAAATAGTACGACCCTGTTATCGAGAGAAAAGTTCGAGCAAATAAGGTCCAAAAACCAAGAACTCATGACGATGACATAATGCGTTCTAGTAAGGCTACACTGAATCGTTAGGGCCGTCGAATATCAGTTTTGTCAGTTGTGATAACACGAAAACTCCCGGTACGGCTCTCTCAAGAGACTTCGAGGAAAGACCTCCAAAAGCTACAAAACGTCAGCTATGAAGAAATGCTACTAGGTCTCACAACTTGTGACGATGGGTCATCTAAGTATACAAATTTGCGGGTTTCAACTAGAATAAATAGTTAAAAATAGATAAATAGTTTTACCACAGGTACCCCAACGATAACTCTAGCGACAATAAGGTCCCATCTATACTGCCCTTCATTTCAAATGAAGTAAGTGCAGCTAAACGCTGTTTAAGAAGGG